ACATGTATTCAGGATTAAGGCATCCATACTTTATCATTAACGCCATCACAAACCTGGCTATCGTGCTAAGTGAAGGCGGTCTCGGAGAGACAGGTTTCTTGCGGCTTTCACTGCCCCGCGTCATAATTAGCCATTACCCTGCAGATAACAGCACCAAACACACGTTAACTAGACTGACTAGGAAATGTCAGCAGTCCCACCACTGGTGTCAACTGTGAGCCATGTCCTGTGGTCTCCAACCAGACACTTGGCGAGTCACCTGGACTCCAGCCTGAAGAGAGTGGCGGATCGAGGGTACCAGGTTTGGTCGTCATTGACTTTATTTCCTGCTGCTAAATCAATTTTCGTCCACCTCGAGTCTTTCGCCACCCTACATCTGGCAGACCGAACAAGGCTCTCCTAGATAAGCGGTGAGCGGGCATACGCAGTACGTGCCCAAGCCAGCGCAGCTTATTCTGTTATCTTTTGGTCCAAGGAACTAGCTTGGATATCATTGCCTAGCACTCGCCTACATACATCCTCGTTGCGGACACCGTTGTGCTTCCTGACACCAGCAATGCTCCTCAGACAACGATGGTCAAAGACTTGTAGGTTCCTCAGATCTTCAGACCGAAGAGGTGAGATCTCACTCCTATTGAGTGACACGGCCCTCACTTTGGCCTTGTAAACACGGGCTTTCTGTCGCCAAAGATGTCGCGGATTTAAAAACGCAGTTCTAGCTTTTGCAATACGTGAACTAACTTCTGTTGCTATGCGCTCTTCCTTACCGATGCGGCTTGCAAGGTAATTGAATCGATCAGCTGTCTCGAGTTCCTCGCCATATAGCCTCAAGGGATCATCAAGTGGCCAGTGGTCTTACAGCGACACTGCACTTTAAAGGTGCGAAGCGCATGCCATACAATGGGACCACTCTGGAATGTTTATTCAGGGTTGTTTGGGCAGCCCCAACCTCGTTAAACAACAAGACCATGTCGTCCGCATAATCAAGATCAACTAACTCGAACTCTGTGCCTAACCTGCAGTTCCCTTCGTGTGATACTGGCGATAATTACTGCGCCTTTCCGGAGATAATGCAGCTCCGAAAGGCTGTCAGGCCAGTATGAGTATTGTGCGGAGCTCCCTGTGCTGAAACTTCCCTGGGAGACTGAGTCCCAAGCGGTGACCAAATGTGCACTGTTCCACTATCTTTCTCTTTCAAAGCGCGCAAGTCGCGTGGGGCTAAAAAGTGCCTGTTTGTCATTGCTGACGTACACCATTTTGAAGCATCCGTCTTGTGAATGAGTTGCGGCGCACATGTATACCTGAGAAGAGCAAACACCTTCTAGCCCAGTCGTGAATTATAGGTTCTTTTTCTGGCGGGAACCACCCAATATCCATCAGCTTCACCTACAGTCCTAGTCTCCTCATTGACCACTGGTCACTTTAATGCGAATCGCGGTCCATTACGATGATTTTGCAGTTCTTTTCTTTTCGTCATGTTGCACTTTTCCATCTATCTTTTCACTCCTCCAAATGTACGACTGTTCTCCAACTGTATATATACGGAGGCCGCAGTGACGTGCACATCCAGATACGGATGCCCCCAATCCATTATACAACTTGTTAGGGGACGCAGACCCTAACGAAATCGGTCGGATAAAATGCCCAGCGTTTCGGCTCGAAGATGATTCGCTTGTCTCATAGTCGTGACCTTAGTTCGACCAATGACAGTTGTCACATTTTCACTTTAAAGATCGTTGTGTAGGAGGACTTTTTAAACCAATAAAATCGCATCTCATGTACCTTGTTGACCTCTTTCGGCTTCTGTTTTGTGTCGCGCATCTTGGGGCTTTGAGGTCGGCACATTCGCGATACTTAGATGGCCACAACACAAGTTGCCCATACAATCAGGATACATGATTAATAATGCGACTTTTTATTCAGATACCATCTTTGCAGTGTACGTTTTAATCAGTTTTTTTTTAAAAACCATTGACGCATCTAAATTCCTCTTTCAGAGTCATTCTCCGTTAAGTAATACAATATTTGCAACTTATATGAATGAAACTTGCGCTGTTTTAAAATGAGACCGACCGTTGTTCTCGGGATACCTAACTCCATAGATGTCCAGCAGGTTGATGTTTTGAGATTCGCATACATTTCAAACACAACGATATCTCGTTTTGGCTGATACATTTGGTCACCCAGGACGCGGTTTGTCCATGAAGCCACCTGTTTCCTTAACTTTCCTGCTCACCTTAGCTAATGTCAATAAACAAATTCCAATTCTTCCCGAATGACATACATGAAATTTATCCGCAATCTTTCGATATGACCATCCCACACGTCCACTAAGAGGTACCAGCTCAACTCGTTCGTCCCTTGACATTGCCATGTTCAATCTATGGAGGCAAGGAATCCGTTAATAATTTTGCATTTTTTAATTCATTGTAATTTAATGAAAACTATCTATTTATTCTGTGTTCTGAATTTACGGACACGCTGTACATATCAGAAGTAAGATATGGCTGATGGGCTCGTTTTACCTGGTTGATCTTCAGGCTAATTCGTAGCCATGACAGGGGTTAAATCAAACGCACTAATCAAATGCGATGACTAAATGGATTGAAATGTCTGATTAATTTGGCTAACCAATAGGTCTACTCAATGTCAGTTCAGGAGACATAGTGTGATCGCCATGGTTTCTCGAGACGTGCTGTGGTCAGGTCAATCGAACGTTCTGTGCTAGTTTTTTTGTACTCATTGCTCCGGGTTTTGAAGCCTGATAACGGTTGCGTCGGTTGACCCCAGTAGACGGCATCTGACCGTCCGCGTGTAGTGTCCGGGTCTCCAGTAGATGGACTGAAATGTGTCTTGCGTGTTGACCTGGTGATTCAAATCAATCAGGTGTGCCAACACAGCACTTGTTACCGTCCTCTTTATACCCCTGCTGAGCCAAGCAGGGCAATGTTCAGACACGCCTGGTGATGGATACATCCGATTACATCAGAAAACCATAGAGATTAGCAGTATTACATCATAACGATGAACGCTCTTCTTAGTGGGAGGTCAAAATTTCGGAAACTGGAGAACGAAAAAGACAGAACACAGATAATATAGAAGTCCATATCCAGACTGTTGAGTCGGCTGGAACAGGGGCGCGTAATTGACTCCGATATATTTGAACACGTTAGACCCAGTGGAGCGGGGATTTCAAAACTCTATGACCTACCGAAAATCCATAAAATAGGGTTGATGCTAAGATTAATATTAGGTATGTGTAACTCTCCATACCATCTGCTTGCCAAGTGGCTTGTCAAACTTTTAGAACCAGCCAAGAAAGCCTTAGACAGGACTGGTCTCAGGGACACCGACTTCATCGACTCAGTGTCAAAACTTGCAATTATGGCGCTATAGATGTTATCGTTAGACCTCGTGTCTTTTTCACAAGTGTTCCACTAGAATAATATAGACTAATTATGTGACTGTATCTCGCTGCACAAGATCGACACCGGCATCGCCAGAAAACATTTAAGGCAGCTCTTGCTGATATGTTATAAGAACATCCAGTTCCAGTTTAAAGGGCACAATTTCTCGCCAAACAGATAGCGTGGCAATGGGTTCCCTCTTAGGGCCACTGCTCGCGGACATCTTTATGAGCAAGCTAAAGAATAACGAATGAATGAATCAGGAACTTGGTGTACTACGGTCACGGCATAGACAACATTTTTGTGTCGCGCATAGCCAGGTATGCACGGAAACTCTGCTAACCAATATCAACGATGCACATGACAACGAGTGTGAGCGCCACCACTGCATTTACTCTATTGATTAGATATTTTACTCCATTTATTCATCCCATTTGATTATTGGGTTTGTTTTAAACCCTCCCATTGTGATGCATTAGCGTGTAGATCAAGCATTGAAAATGAGCTCGTTCGCTACATCTTACTTTAGATGCCTTCTAGCGTGGTATCTGAGAGCGTCCACAGTCAACTTTTAGTTTCGCGCCGCCATGCTTTGGACCCAAGTGAAATTCAAATGGGACAGGAACAAAAGGAAATTCCCACGGTCGTTCCGTCTTGAGCGCGTCGTTGACCCACCTCATTCGTTTGGTTGTTACAACCTGACGGAATTTTACTCTGACGCATTCTCTGTAGTGTTTCTAATTCCCAGCTTATCTGTATAATGGATAAATGGAGCTAACTGCCCTTCTCCTCAAGCCGCACCGCCTGATATTAGCTCACATACCATCCGCTACTCTGAATAGAACCCTATCTAAATCCAAAGGAGAGACGAAACGCCTGAATGTTCTTTACATGATACAGTGTAAAAGTTGCGGGGAACGCCATGTGGACCAAGCGGGAAGGAAGTTATCTACGAGATTAAAAGAACACAAACGAGCCTGTTGAACTGAGTACTCGTCATCACTGGTCTCGACACACGTTGACGAGGAATGACACCTACTTGACTGGGGAAAATCGGAGGTCTTAGCGCTAGGTGGGGCAAGAAAATGTAGTGAATTTCCCGAAGCATGGTTCTCTACAGGGAATACAAGCAAGTTGAGCATTTACTATCCGGATTCTGTTTCTTGTAACACTCTGATGGGTGAAATATCTCTTCTGATTGTCGCGACCAACACACCAACGGGAATGACCACTGGCATATGTAGCTGATACAGTTCACACAGTTGGGGCTACTGACAACGGCTGTTCTAAAAATAATACCTCCTCAGATGTCATTGTTTTAAGAATCACAAGGTCGCCTTGTAATCCGAGGGCGCGGGTTCAAACTTGCGCAGCGGCAGAGCGGCCCTCCCAGTATCCTTATCCCACGTGCGACTAGTGGTGGTTGCGCGGCAGCGAAGCGTCGGTACTGCGTACCGGCATGCTGCTGATGCCTTTTTTTAGATTCAAAGACCTTGTCCTTATTTGGCTTCTTTTGTTCGAAACCACCACCAGAGAATGGTCCTTTGGTACAAGGCTATAACTGATGAGTTGCAACCTTCCCACTCCTTTCAGCTGTATGCCCTCGTAAGTGACCACTCCATATCATCTGCTTGCTGATCATCACTGGTGTCATCCACTGGCTCGGCGGTTGAATTGTTCATCTAGCTAACCATACTAACACCCATTCTTATTTCACTTGTGCCTTTTGCTGAAATTCGTCGCCCTTTCATTCTTCCTTCGTTCTACTCACCTCACTATCCCAACCGGTTTGCATGTGCGCATTTCGCACTTTAAACCCTACATTTTCTTAACACATGCATAATCAAAGTGCTGCACGCGTTTCAGTTACCATCGATCAGCACTTTCGCTTAGCTACCTTAGCTTGTTGTAGTTGCCATTGAACAGTTCAGGGGATGTTTCACTTCACCTGCACCACGAAACTCGCATGTATTCGAACATGAATTACGGTACCGCACTGGGTGACATCTACACTTTGTATTCACTGACTTGTAATATCGGTTGTACATCTGTTTCACCACGCGCACATTATTTGCACTGCTTCCTGCACTGCCTGAGAACCACGTATTGCGCACATCAGCAGGGAAATAGCCGCACTGTAAATGAGGCGTGATCCGATACTGCTTTACGAAAATCTTTCTGCTGTTCAAGCGGTGCGACGTATCAACGCGGTAGGCACAGGTTGGCAAGGCTTTTGTAGTTCCGATTGTCCTGCTGTGTTCATCAGCGATGGCTAACAGTAAACTGGTCCAGTACATAGATACCTCGGACAAGCGATTCAGTTGATGCATTTCCCAAATTCCCACACACCAATGGCTTTCCATGTAGCATAATGCCTAAGTTATTTTCATGTTTCAACAACTGTGTTTATGTGCGCATTTTCAACGGAACCACTCGTTCGTTTACGAAAATAAGCCATTTGTCGGGTATGATCATCTCCAGTGTTATTTGTCAATTCGAATATTCCTGTGGTGCAACGTATATCGGTCAAACGGTGCGGCACTTGTCCAAACGCGTAAATGGGCCATGTCTATGTTGGTTACATCAAGTTGGCGCTGGAGTCACTAACAGCTCAGTCTGAACTCTATCGTCGACACTGGACGTCAGGTGCTTTTAAATCATCAATATCACCAATACACGTTAACTGAGAGTGAGAAACACACCTCAGCTAATGTGCCGCAACACAAAAGATAAACGTTACAGGCTTCCAAAACTAAGAAAGTAATAAAATGCTAAATGTCACATTATGCATTGGGTGTGCGATCGTTCTTTGACGGGAAAGCTAGAGTGCAGGGGTAGGGACAATGAAACTTACAATACAAGCGCCATTGAAGTCGGTCCCTTGGCATCTCAACTAGTTTATCCGACCAAACATCTTCAGCGTCATTGGGACCGCATTCTGACAGTAAGGAGACACCAACTGACGCCAATTTCGAATTGACCGTTTTCACTCCTTTTAACCAAGTCATCGCTTGGACACCACTCTTCATATTCGAGTCCCTTTCCGTTCGCGTAAACAACGCACGTCACGAGATTCGGCATGCGCAAGACGAGGCCTAGCCAACGGAGCCTGGCTCGTGTAATAACGGTACTGAGCAATTCACTCTTCCTGCGTCAAATACGCGGAGCCGAACACCTTTACTTGTCACGCGGTGTTCCCACCAGAGATGAGCTAAGTTGCGAAGACAACGTTGGTTGAAGTTAACTATCCTGTTTAACTCTATCAGCCTTATGATCCAGGTTTCACAACCGCACAGAAGGGTTGAACGCACGATTGCATTGTAAACTCAGCCCTTCAGGATGAGAGTGATGTCGCACGGGTGCCACAGGTGGCGAGTATTGGCAAAAACGCCTCGAACCTTTGCTATGTTGCTCGTAATCCCATTTTACATGCCGCAGAGACTAATATATATGCCTAGATATTTGAATTTCTGGACTAATTCTAGATGATCAAAACCAACGAGATTGAACTTTAGCTTGGTGCGATGGTTTGCGTACCCCCCATTGAGCTACGCTGGGTGGCACCTTCCAAGTGCCTTCAGATCCACCCATACCAGGCAGGTCAATAGTTAGTGGTTTGACTTACTGTTTCACAATGCAGTCCTCTTCGGAGGTTAGGGAGGGGTCGACGACCCTCTTCTAGCCATAGGAAACAACAGATCTAGGAGTTATAAGCTCACAGCTCGATTGGCGTAGTGCACAAGCGCCACGCATTGTTTCTGACGGTGGGAGGGCACCATCTGGTGCTCATTGGTTTGCTACCTCCGGCCTCAAGCCAGTCAGACGCTGGACAAATTGCTGCAAACCCGCCAAAACCCTCTTGCATCTGACCCTGGTCGCAGGTGCGTAACGTAATACGGTCCTACAACACGTGCGCACTGTTCTAACTGTTCAAAGACTGTATGTGACATGCCTCAAGCAGACCCCATATGGTCTCTGCAATCACACTCCCGAGATGGACTTGCTTGCTACTGCCTTGTGGGTCAGGCTGTCGAGTCAAAGGCTCCGGGAGGAGTACCTCAAGTGAACTTCCTTGTACCCCACCGCCTTGTGAGTCAGACTATTGAGTCAAAGGCTGGCGGTAGGGCACCTCGAACAAAACCTCTCTCTCAGAATGGGCAGCCGGAGAGTATCTTCTGCCCTCTCGACCACGTCGACAATGCTCCTTCTTGTTTTTATCTCCTCAACTTTCTTCTTCCCTGTCTATTGAGCAACAGACTGCTATTGTCATCGCTACATGCAGCTCTTCTGTCAAACTTAGAGCTTCATTCCACATTAGTTCTTTTAACATCCGAACTTTGGGTCAGATCGGTCAACAGGTGGAATTGACTCACTCTTCACTCTCTTGGTATTGATGTGTGCTGTGTCTATGAAACATATACAGGATAACATCGTTGTAATGAATCTTCGACTCCTTGGTTCTGAATATGACTACGATGACTACACCCTTCACGTCTCTGGCGATACCGAGTCAATGGATGAAGGTATTTACGGTGTTGGTATTGCACTCAGCGAACATGCTGAAGGTAATTTGCTCAACTGGATACCGGTGGATAGCCACATATGCGCGGTCGAACATCGACACTGTATTGGAGCTAATACACCAACTGAAGACAAGGTGCCTTTCCATGGCCTCAGTTTATGCCCCTACTGAGTGAAGTTCAGAGGGTATCAAAGACGATTTCTATCAACAGTTCTCATCTCTTCTTCGGATGGTGAAGAACACTGACATCTTGACTGGTGACATGAATGCCTAAGTCGGTCGTCTTTCAGACTCTGAACAGCGCTTTCGAGACCGATTCGGTGTCGATGAACGCCGAACAGACATTGTTGATGGAGTCCTGCAACTGTGCTCCGACCACAATCTCTACCTTAGCAGCGTTGCTTTCCAACACAGACGTTCACACTGCGTCACCTAGCGCCCACTAAATTGCTCGACTATCTGGATCAAAATTGATCATATTGCCACGAATTATGAACAGCGTATATCGGTCCAAAACTCGGTCAGTTTATAGTAGGTGCCTGAATTTCAGACATGCTCTAGTGAGTGCACGTCTTGCTCACTCTTTCCGTCTTCTAAGCTTCTCACTTGTAACTTGAACTCGCAGTTTTCAATCCAGCATTATCACAACGAACTGGCGCACCAATTGTCAGTGATGAACGAGGTTGGTGAGCCAAACGCTGAGTGGGATTCTCTCAATGATGCTATGAAGAATGCCTTTGACGCTTGATGTGCGCCCAACTTGAGACTACGTAATTGTGAATGAATCTCTGAATCATCGACCAGTTTGATGGAAACACGGAAACAGGTTCCGATGGGCACTAAGTTTCAGCATGTTCCAAACTCCCTGAACCGACGTCTGACGAGAGCTCTTCGAACCGACCGTGTACGTTGGTGGGGCTAGAACACGTAAATGGAGAAAGCCTGTGCTACTGGGACCAGCCGGTTGCTTTTCCAGTTCATCCAGAACATGGGTCCGAGAATACCATCACTTAGTGAGACAATAGCTGATAAAGCTGGACACTTGATACTTTTTGAGCCTCGTCTTCAAACCCGTTTGGCGAAACATTTTGAACAGCGGTTCAGCAGCTTGGCTTCGGTACCGCCGTCTGCTGAATCACCACACGGGACGTTGGAATTTGATCTAACACCCACCTTTGTAGAGATTCGACATGGACCCACTGTGTTGAAACGAAAACAAGCAAATGAACCCTACACCCCACCTCCATCTTTGGTTATGATGGAAACTATTCTTCGTTGTCTAGACACCGAGGAGATGCCTTCAGACTGGCGACTGTCGCGCCCATCTTCAGAATGGATCAATGGACTTCTTGCGAAAATTAACGGGCCACTAGCCTCTTTTCCCTTGCTGCCTTACTTCTCACGGGTGTCATTATTCGATGACTTGTCCTTGTGAAGGCCAATTACTGAAGTTCAGGCTGGATTTCGCTCTGGTCGTGGTTGCATCGATCGTATATTTACTTGTTGCCAAGTGTTAGTGCACAGACACAATTACAGTCGACCGACTATGGTAGTTTTCCTTGACCTGAAAACCCCCTCCAACTCTTGATCGCACCTGCTTGTGGCACTACGGATCTGTGAAGAGCGTGTCAGCTAAACTCCTTTCCATTCTGAGGTCCCTACTGTGACTCCCGATGCCGGGTAAGGTTATGATGGAAGCGGTGTCATGAGTTCCCCATTTCAAATGGGGTTTGCCAGGGTTGTCCGGTATCTCGTTCTCTCTTCACTTTTGTGATCGTAATGATCATGAATGACTGGGTGATCGACCAACAAACCATGCAAATACGAACGATAAAGTTTTCTTTGGCTCTGACGCAGTGGATATGCAACGCCACTGAACAGACTGGTGCGTACATCTCGCGTTTCGGCATGTGCTTTGTACTTTCAAAGTGCAAAGTATGGTTACAGAAATGGACAGCTACTCCACTAGTTTTATCTACCAGCGAACAACCACTGGCAGTGGTGTATCAGTTCAATTGGTAGCTGAGTCACCTCTGGTGATCACATCACTAAGGAGGCTATTTTGCGTATTAGCAAAGCCCGTTTGGTATTACAGAAACTCAGCTCTGTATGGAGACGGTGGGATATCAGAATATCCGTGGAAGGTAGAATGTGCAACGCTGCCATAAGTTCGGTGCTACTATATGCATCAGAGACCTGTCCAGTTCGCTTGATCGTGTTTGATCACCGTGCTCGCGGAGTACTGCTCATGTCTAGTGGGAAAACAGAGTAAACGATGATGAGATCCGCCGACTGATTTTTGACAAGCAGTTTTTTGGTACCTCACTCGAATGTTCGTTAAAGCTTGACGGTTTACATTTGTTTTCGTTGGCCATTTTCCTCGGCGTGTATTATTCGCCGTGGCGAAACCGAGTGGTGGCTAATTGATGAAGTGGAATTAAGACATCAAGAAACTGACCGAGAGCCCTGGTCAAACTGGTCCATGCCGTCCTCGTAGATGGGAACCTCGGGGTTGTCCACAGCAGTGGTCGGAGACCCTTGGACGAAACACAGTCCACTAGTGAGGAAACCGGAGATGCCGACAGCCGGGGTGTTCTTTCGCGATGTTTATTTGTTCGCTGAGTTCAGCAAGCATATCCACTGGGTCCTGCTAAAGGAATACTCCTAAAAGAGGAGCTGATATTGGTGGAAATCCTTCATGAATATTGTTGTGTCCCCAAGGGTTCGACTTAGCATCTTAGATTGCGCCACGCGAGTCAAAAGACAACGCACCGGACGAGAAGTATATTTGCGAAACACTGTACGGGCCGACATGGGTATGAAAACACTCTGATTACAGTTCAAATCACGGCTGAGTGCTAATTTCATTTATCAATCTCAAAGAATCACGGGACATGTGAGTGATGTGAAACAATCGATTGTGACAAATGTTCTGCTACACAGAAAAACTCTAGTCTGCAGTTATGAACGGCTACACCTTGCACCTCCAACAAATATGAACCACCCCATATGTGTGGTTGTAGAGTAGGTTGGGCTGGATGAATGAGGTGAGAGCTTGCGCCGAGACCTACACGTGTGGGTGGATGTTGGCCGTTTGAGGCGTAGTTTTTTTTACGAGGGAAGCATGGAGATAGTGGAGCCGAATGTGCACGTCCGACTTGGGAACCACAACACCGTGATTACGGTTAACGTTTGTTATTCCATGCGCCTTAGGGAGAACCAAGCCTTTCCAAAGATTAATTATTTCCTTTTCGAATAATTGTTGTCCATCTATGTCCTTCAAACATCAACGTCTTTTGTTTGTTCACATCTGCTTATACACGCCTCATTCGCACGCGTTCCCATACACAGCATGCCCTTTTATAGCTTTTACTGTTCCCATTCTAATACGCATATTCCCGTATTTCATTTCCCCTATCATGAAATTAAGCAGACAGTTCCGCTCTAGTCATTGCCATTGGTAGTCGCTTCATTCCCGCAGCCCACCGTGCCACTAACCCGCAGTGTCACGCTCAACCTCACTATCATCGCGATCAGCTTGCTCAGAACCGTGCATATCTTCTTGCTGGATAACCGCTTGATTCAAGTCAACTTGTTATTTAAAAACATTATGTTGCTCTAATAAAACACTGTTAATGTTTGTGATTATTCTCTACAGCTTTAGAGGATGTAACTTTGGCATTTGATATTGTCCACTCAGGTACTGTACCGTTGTCGGTATCTTTTCATAATTCATGACAACAATAATCACGGGATCTTCAAATCGACCGTTGACTTTTAATTGTATATCATTTTTACTTTATCTACGTCAGATATATGAGTTTCGTAGGGATATTTTGACCTCCGGCTTACTCTCCATATTTTGTATGCTAAGTCGAGATACCGCGCACCATTCGCGATTTACTGCTTTTGGCCACGAATTCTCAAGCCAGTTTGTTGGAAAATGTCCTGGAATTTATCGAAACCCATATGAGGCGATGCATACCAAAAGTATCAAAACAAACCGTTGAAAAGAAACAGCTTTATCTGACACTTCCATTCACAGGAAATAGTGCGGCTGAGACATGCACACGTCGACCACAGCAAAGCTGCAAAAAGACCTTTAATGCGGCTCAGCTAAATGTGATTTTCATGAGCAGGCCTTTACTAGTTCCGAGATTCAAAGACCGAGTGCCTGATCATCTCCAATCGATGTTAATCTACCGGTTCACCTGCCCGTGCGGGGCCAGGTACGTTGGACGGACGACAAGGCATCTAGGTAAGAGAATTAAGGAACACCTCCCAGGTTGGCTCTACAAGCGTGAGAATAGGACAAGCTGCAGTGCGATTACAAACCATCTAATAACCACAGGCCACCAGATAGACAAACGAACATCCTTTCAAATTCCCTACAAATTACCATCAAGACAAATCCATCGTCTAAGAGCAAGCATACTCGCAACCGCTGAGGCAGTATGCATACGTCTAACAACTTCCCTGGCCGACCACCAGCCAAGAAGGAAGTAATGATACTTCGCAACTTCACCTGACTTCAGTCATGTGATCAGATGACTGCCATCATGATCGCAAGTTAAATTTTTTGACCAATTGTTCCTTTGTTATACTGACAATTGCAACAGACGTTACCCTAACGTATATTACTATATAAGCCTGAAGAAGAATTAATCGAAAACAATTGTTCGCTTAAAGCTTCGTGTTTTGTTTATCTTTCTGAACTTGACGTAAAAAATGGGCATTCTGCTTTGGTTGTCCTGGAATTCTGTTTATCAATTTGCGTGCAGTGCTCAAGAATGTGGTTCCTTGTCCTCGACTGGCACCATTGCACCCATCTTACTCAAAATTTGACATTTTTGTTTATGTCATTCTACTTCATCCGAAATTGATGAAGTACTGAGAATGCACCCATCCGGGTATATAAAGTTCACCTTGACTTGGTTTGACGTTGACGAAGTATTCTTAGGGACCCTGGTTTGGTGCATTTCTCGTCGAGGACGGTGTCATCCTGGTCTGTACTACTTATCTATGACCTTTTCTATAAGTTTGGATGCTTAGGCTTTTGTGGTATAATGAACATGCTGATGATCATACGGCGAAAATTGTCCCACCAACTTAGGCCACAACGCATGGCTTATGCACGCGCCTGTGCACGCATTACAGCGTGCACGACACCTCCTTGTACTATGCAGTTTTGCTGTTAATCACTGATGTAGCTGCGATTTTTCGTCATCTTAGTCTGGCAGTCTGATTCATCAGACATACTCTGGTCTCCTTTCTCGCTCGCTTGACAACTTTTTTCCTGCGTTCCACTTTTTTCTGCTGGCCAGACAGTTCTCGATGTGCTTCTCTTGTAAATGCTCTCTGAGAACTTCCTTTGCTTGCCTTTTCTTTCGCACCAGATTTATCGTTCCCCTTATCAGCCCCGAATTACGAAGCTTCTTTTCACTCAACTAAAAGTACGACATCACTGTTGTTTTTCACAGCTCTCTTTCACGCCAACTAGCTGCCATCTATTCTTGGTTCGCTGCTTCCTGAAACATTTCTACTACATGGCGTTTCGTCATGGGCTTCCGGCACCGTTCCAAACCCCTTATGAACAATTGCTCCACAACAAACTCACAGCTTACTGCAGGTAACCTAGGCCAGAGTGTAGCCTTTACCTCATGACCCATGTGCTTATCGTTTTTCCGTTGCTTTTTTATGCAAACCTTTTCCTTATGTGTGTATTAGCAACACTAACGGATAGACACAGAGCTAAACAAAACCATGGAAATCACTGAGAAAGAGATTGAATCGCCGCATCATCATTATAACATGAACTTGAGCAACACACTTAAGCTATTGTGCTGCGATAAAAGAAAAATGGGATATTTTTTGGATATTTTCCACACGCCACTTTTTCTTTTTTTTGTCTACTTCAACTCTGAACCTGAACAAGTGTACACATCTTCCACTGGTTTCAATTGCGCAGCGTATCTTGAACCATTCCCAGCCATCGGCACTCCTCGCCCTTAGGTCTCCAACCAATCAGGCATGTGGATCCAACGGCAACAAGACATGAACTCAACAATTCCATGTGCTGTCGCCAGGTGGTCGGCTGACCACCACGTGGTCTCTTCCAGTCAAATCCTGCACGAGCGAAAGGGGTGCAATGGGGCAATTGCTCAACTGACATACCCAAGACGTGACCGGGCTATCTTAACTGACGTAACAAAACTAGCTTGTTGTAGTGAATACTCACATTCCCTAAGACATGGCATCGAACTTTACTGTTGCAGATACGTTGCTTCCAACACACACGAGCAACGCTCCTCAAGAACCTCTTGTCGGAGGGTGAAAGCCCGCTCATGATATCTACGCGAATTGGCCATGACTCACTGACAAATAGCAACACCGTCCGAACGGTGGCATTAAATGCACGACCCTTTACCAAGAAGGAGACATCTCGATGGCGCCACGAGTGTTTCAAGTTGACAAACGTCGACCGAGCTTTGGTGATGCGAAGAGAAACTTCTTAGGGCTACCAACAGACCCGCAGCCGCCCAAGTAGACATAGTTTTGCATTTGTTCAATTTGTACACCTTCAAGAATGAGCACGGGAATGGACGAGCGCCAATCTTAAAGCAGCACTTTACATTTCGAAGAGCCGAAGCGCATTCCGTACTTAGATACGTTAATCAGCAAACGCTTTAGGATTTCTTGCATACACTACGTGTCCTCACCAAGAAAGGCGATATTATTGACACAATCTAGGCCGGTTTCTCTCTTACCCGGTAGTAGTTGCAGTCCGAAATGTCGGTAACCATCCAGAGCTCTCGACAAAGCATCTTCAACCGCAAATTTAAAGAGTAAGGGGGACATAAAGCAGCCCTGTCCTATATCGCTATTGACAGCAAAGGATTAAAAAAAGCTTCCCATACATAGCAGATGTGGAGGTAGAGTGCACGCAGGATGGTAGTATACTTTTCCGGGACCCTGTTCCTTAGCACGTAATGCCATAGCGCAGGTCGATCAACCGAGTCGAATTCAAAACCGTCTCCTTCCTCTGCTCTTGTTCGCGAGCGACGTGTTCTTGGTTTCTACTTCTTAACACCTATCTATAAGCGTACGTTCCCGCGGTATCTCACGCCCAATCATCATATTTTAATAACTAACGGTATACAGTGGTGACATTGCTCCCTCCTGTCGGATACCATGACTGATGCGCCGACAACGAGTCCAGCTTAAGCCTTTCTTTTTTCCTGGCGAAACGAACTGGTATCACTCACGTACCGCCCATAGTTTTTCGCTATATGTCGCAAGCGGCGGTAGTGCAAAGCACACTCTGTCGGTAAGAAACACGGGCCAACATAATTGGTTACTCTTTCAGCTCCCCGATAGTATCCTGCTTTTTCGTTGAGCACACTCATTCCTTGTACGTGACCCTATTTTCATTACCTGAGCTGTCCTTACTCTTTTGGAGATACGATCAGCTTCTCAGGTTTACTGCTAACTTTTTTTTATCACAACATTAGTAATCTCGGTTGTTCGTCATAAATGTTTCGCTCATCTTTATTTCTCTAGATGACGACACATTCACGGTTTCCCACTTTTTAATGTTAGTAAGTCATAGTCGTAGCATATCCTCCGGACAGAGGCATCAGCTGCTTCAGATCGCTACGTACACTGACCAACTTCAATAATTCTGGTAGCAGCAACTCCCCGATAAATGGTAGAAGGATGCATTTCCTCTTTCGGAACATTACTTTATCCTGGACATAGTATAACAATTCTGTAAGTATTTTTTCTTTCTAGTATGATTGTGAATGAGCGTATCTTCCCCGTGTTCTACCAAAATCTATCGGCCACTCTAGACATCCGTTTGACTTTCCCGTCCCCCTGACTGCAATATGGTAAAAGGTGCATTGTCAATATATATATATATATATATATATATATATATATATCAGTTAGACTGAGCCAGCGATCACCATGGATTGGAAGTAAAATATAGGTACTACGTAGTAGAAAAAATACTGAAAGTTACAAGAAAGCTTTTTTTTGAATCCTTTTACCTTTTTTCACACACCGTTCTATCTTTTTTGTCTATTTAATGTTTGAGGTAAATCGATGCAAATGTGTACACATTCTCATTGGGCCTGTTTTTGCGCCATCTCCAAAATAGTTTCCAGCCAACATTTTGCTTCATCTATGATCCTCCAGCCTGGAAGATGCATTGGACCTACGACAGCTAAACCGGAACTCAGTGCTTTTTTCCTTTGTCGCCACGTGATAGGCTGACCACTGCGCGGTTTCTTCCAGCTTGGTCCTGTGCAAGAGAAGAGCGCGTCGAGTCAGCTGTTCGCATGGCATGCGTAAACCGTGGCCAAGCCATCTCAGCTGGCGCAGCGGTACCAGTCTGTCAAGTGGAAGTCCCGTGTTACCCAAGACGCGACGTGTAACATCGTTATTGCGCACGTGGTTTATCCACAACACTCGGGCTATTCTCCGCAGACATTCATTGTGAAAGACCGAAATCTAACGCGTCGTTAACACGAATCGGCCAGGATTCACTCCCATACAGCAGCACCGCACGAACACAGGCATTGTAGACCCTGTCATTTACCAATAGTGAAACATCGCGGCGTCGCTACAGATGCCTCAAGTTGGCGAATGCCGAATGGGCTTTGGCAATGCGAAGGGAAATCTCTTTCCCAATGCTACCATCTGCAGAGACAGCTTCCCAGGTAAACAAAGTTGTCCACTTCTTCAATCTGCGTAACTTGAAGAGTAAGCACTGGTGCAGGTCGATGCCAATCCAGGACCAGGACTTTGCATTTGGTAGGAGCAAAGGTCATTCCATCATTTGTTGCTTTAACAACCAAGCGGTTTACAACGGCTTGTGTGCTCTGTGCGTCATCACCAAGCAAGGCAGTACCGTCAGCATAAACTAAATAGGTCACGCGGTTACCAGGACGAAGCTCTACACCAGAACCTTGAAATCCCTCGAGAGCGTTTCAAAGGACATCCTCGACCGCAAAATTGAAGAGAAATGGGGACATGTGGCAACCCTGTCTTGCACCCCTACTGACGACTATATAATGCTCGAAGGATATGCTTTTTGGGTACCACATTCCTTTGTAAGCAACCCTATAAAGCTGACCGATTGACAGAGTCGAAAGCGGCTCGCATGTCCAGAAAAACAACGATAGTGGGCCGTCGGCAAGAATGACGCGTTTCAAGTTGGCGGTGCGTAAACAAGTGGTCTATACACCCTTGACCAGGGCGGAAGCCAGCCTCTTCTTCACGGGAGCACATTTCTTTAATCGGGGTTAGTCTGTGGAGTAGAATGGATGTTAACAGCTTGGTGACAACGGACTTTAAACTTATTCATCGGTGCTTAACACGTAGGGTACGAGCGCCTTTCTTGAAGATCGGGACGATATTTGACTCGCCCAAAACGGATGGAACTGTTTCTTTACCCCTGATCTTAGAGAACAGAGCTGTTAGATGGTTAACATTTGCTTCGCCACCGAACTTGAACAGCTCCGGAGGAAGTCCACCTCGGCCGGCAGACTTGAATAACTACAAGTGTCGGAGCTCGAGACAAGCCTCAGCTTCCGTGTGTGGTTCCAATGAGACGTTCCAAAACGCACAACTGGGTATACTCATTAGGCTTGCCGGCGGAGGAGGGCAGCCGAATTGAGTGCGGAAGTGTTCAGCTCAGCAGTCCATCCAGCTGGGTAAGTTGGTGGTCGGCCTTCCATCAACCTCGCAAATGACCTCACCGACACCAAGTCTTTTGTGACCATTGACTCGAATGACCTGCAAGAGCTTGTGAGAGTTTCCAGAGGGGGCTGCCGTTTCCATCTCTGAGGGGCGCTGAGACCACCAAGTTTCGCGATCAGCTCGAAAGTCTTGCTGATGTTGGCTGTGAATTTGACGCATTGAACTGCTAGTTGAATCGCTCGGAATAGCTTTATGACCATCAAACAATTACAGTGAGTGTGCGAAAACTCAGCCCCTCAGAGGGCACCTTGTGATTCCGCAAATTGAATGACTGTAAGATAGCATCGCTTCACGCAAGAAACTCCAATGATTTTCGATGTCTCGAGGTGGAGTACTAATGAATGCATGCGACAAGGATGCTTTATAAGCTGATCGAATAGAGCGGTCAGCTAACCTGTTGGTGTCGAGCGTATGATGCTTCGTTTTGAGCAACCGCCGAAGCGCATGCAGATGTCCGCGCAGACCAAAGCATGATCTTAATTGAGGTACGTAGACCAAATCGATCTACAACCCCGGACGCTGCATCGCCATCTAAAGCTGATTGCAATGTGATCTATTTATGACCACGCTTGCGTTGATGAAGGAGCACGGCAGGTGGCTGCACGTCTTTTGGTATGCCTAAAGTTCGTACTTGAGAGAAAGAGACGGCGGTCTTCGCATAACCTGAGAAGTCTATCATAGTTGTCAGAACGACTCTCATCAAGCGCGTGACTGCGACCAAGATGACGTTCGAACGGAAGCAGGCGACCTACTCCTTCATTGAGATCTCCGGCAAGGACGATGATATCTGACTTTTCGGCCTTGTTCAAAAGGTTGTGGATTCCACGTTAAAATCATCCTTAACCCATGCACAGCTGCAGTCGG